AATAATAATAGCATGAATCCTGAATATATACAACATGCCTGGAAAAGTTTTTCACGAGGTGATATGTCAATAACCAGAAAGCAAGATGGTACAGGGCTTGGTCTCTCAATTTGTAAAAGCCTAGTAGAAATTAATGGAGGAGAAATTAAAGCAGAAAGTCAGTTAGGAGTAGGAAGCACATTTTGGTTTACATGGAATATAGAATTATTATTCCCGACTACGCCAACTATTTCATCGTCAATAACACCAACTATTTCAAAACTTCCATTTTCCTCATTATTCGAGGCACAATTTGATAAGCAAATAAACTATACATTACCTAATTTTATAAGAAAAAAGCGAATACTAATAATTCACCCAGTCAAAAATATGCGAAACGCAATGTTAACATATTTTAAGTTTGTCGAAAAAGTTGATACATTCGACACTTTTAACAAAGGTATTAAAGATGCTCAAACATATAAAGAACTGTATAATCGATCTGCTTATGACATAGCATTCATCGGCCTTTATGAAGTTAATAAAGAAAAGGTTATGAAAGCAGCATTAGAGTTAAAAGCATTAGATATGGATAGTAACAAATTAGTTATAATGTTCATAGTGTTTCCGGGTAATGAAGGAAATTGGTTAGCAAAAAAATTAATTAGAAAGCTTGGGAGAACTACCTCTGTTATTTACACTCCAATTACATTTAAAAAGTTAATTAATCAAATTGTTCATCTGGAAAAAAACATTGCTACTGATAAAAACAATACAAATCTACAGACCAATGAAAATGATGATCCAAGTATTATAAGGCGAGTAACGGACTATGAACTTTATAGGATTGGAGATTCGAAACATGATATGTATGAGGATGTAACCAAAAGAAATTCCGAGAGGAAGTGTATTTTATGTGTGGTATGCATTTATTTTGGCCAAATAATGCATGCTTATTTAATATGATAAACTTTAATTAATTGTTTGTCAATATTTGTAGGATAATGATACTATAAGCTTAGAGGTAATTAAGTTTTAATAACGAAAACTTGTAATGTTTATAAATTCTTTAATTTATTTTATTTTAGAACACATTACAACAAATTTCAAAACTTGGTTATTCGACGATCTCTGCGGAAAATGGTCAGATTGATTAATTCTGAAGTAAAATTATTAAGACATTCGTACTCAAGTTCATCCAATTCAGAAATAAATCAAATAAAATCTTGCAGAATATCATTAATATTAACTGAATGTAGTTTGGTAAGTCAAATTTGTTAATTATGCTATCATAATACGTAATATATTCGCAATTAATTAAATTAATTCTTATACTCAGCCAATAATGTCAGGGTTTGACATTTCACGAACAATTAGAGCAATGAGACCACCAATTTCAAATATACCGATTATTGTTCTAACAACTTTATCCATGGAAGAAATACATAATGAATGTATCGTGTCAGGAATAAATGATTATCTCACAAAACCACTAAAAACCCATGAACTTGAAAAAGTTTTAACTAAGTGGATTGGTAAAAATTAGTATTAATCACAATTATAATTATTTATGATTCTTATGAATATTAAAAATATATCGTCTATAAATATAGTATATGCTTTTAATTTTTCTAAAACTTTTAGAACGATTTAAAAAAAGTTTATAGTTACATTAATCATATGCAGTTGTTTCAAATTTTTATTTATGTTATGATTTATATAATTAATTGCCTTTTTCTTTTTTAAGACTATAATGAATTATTTGAGTTAGCCAAATTATTAATTAATAAAAATTTATTAAAGATTTTTGGCTCAATTGCTTTTGTCAAATTGTTTAAATATTTTATCTTGTAGTATTCTACAAAAGTTTCTTTGAATCCATACAATTTTTCAAAATTTTATGGGATTTTTTCTAGGAAAATGACCCTCCGAGGCTATGTTGATTTTGTGAATAAAAATTAAATTTGCCAATCATATAGTATCCAATTTGAATGAACTCTTTTTATTTTGTAAAGCCAAATAAGCTCTACAAAATAAAAAAGATCATTCGAATTGTATGACTAGATGGTTGGCAAATTTAATTTGTATTTTCAAAATCAACATAGCCTCGGACAGTCATTTTCCTAGCAAAGATCCCATATAGTATTATAAAATTTCTTGTGCACAGGGTATGTTATAAGCATGTTCTGTATATTTTATATATGTTATAAGTATTATTATCTATATGTTTTATTTAGTGATAGGCAAATTAGCTATTTCAACCTTATATATATATAATTCTGGTCTGCATTGTAGTATTTTGCTTCTAATATAGGTTAGAATTATGAGGTTCTAAAAGTTTTGAAAACTCTGAAATATTTTTATAAATATGCTATATTACTAGTTTACATAATTATTTATATGTTTTACAATATAGCAAGTTTTTTAATTATCAAAATTTAAGAATTACTAGTTAAAATCTTTTAAAACTTAAATGCAAATATCTTACAATAATACATTTAATTTTGATATAGCTTAGCAAAATTTAAAAAACCCTTAAATATCAGAACTAATTACTTTATTGCTATAATATTATTGTTAAAGTTTATTAAACTTAGATTTTGTTTAATTTTAATATATTTCTAATATCTATATTATAGCAGCTAAGCAATTAATTTTGATATTTAAACAATTTTAAATTATACAAATCTATAGAATTTAAAAAGCTTTAATTATTTAAATTAATTATTTTCTTTGCAAAGGCTGGTCTTTCTAAGTAGCTACTATTTAAAGTCTGTACTATTTCTTCTTTTAGATCTTGTCAAGTAGATATCTATCTTTTTTAGTTCTTCAAATTTATATAATTACAAGGATTTATTTTGGTTTGCACTACTTTTTGCTAGCTTACATTTTTTATATAACTTATATATTATACAAATGCTTAATAATTTTTTAATCTTGTTGGCATTATTAAAGTTAAAAAATCTTATTTTAACTAATTAGTAATAAATAGTAGCTATTATATACACAGAATATTTGAAATACTATTACTAGTAGATTTTAAACTTTTAAGCTACTAATATCTGCTTGGGGTACAACAATTTAACTACTTTACTTATTATATTCTTTCAAAATTATCAAGTAGAATTATATAATT